GTAAATTCATGCCTTTCCTAAGTGTATTTGAGCGTAAGTGAATATAACGATCCCAACGGGAATTAGAACCCGGCTCTCCGATTACCAATTCCGATCCATTATCCCCTACACCAACTACATATCCAGTCTTCCAACATATGATATTCCCAAACGGTCAACCGTCTAGGTGCTAACCAGACTCGACGTTGCTTGGAGCTACTCAATCCTTGATAGATTTTCGCGCCATTTTGAAGGAAGATATTTTTCCACCCTTCAACCACTTTCCCTGAGACGAAACTTCGCAAGTCTGTTGCTACTCCATCGCTATTCCTAAGGGGATTGTTCGGGCGAGTTCCATTCTTTAGTGCCGCCATCTCAAACGTTTGCAGCTGAAGCCCGCTATGCTACGTCCATGGAGTCGAAGCACCCACATTCCCTCCGTATTCCAATTGCAACGAGAATGTTCCAGTCAGAAAGCATCATCCCAAGTTCTGCTGTTTTGTGGAACAGACTCCTCTCTGAACGCTACCATCTTAATCTCTTCAAGTCAATCGTTACCTAGCTGCCATACCCTCATAATCTTTACTTCCTACTTTGAAATCCATATCCGACACATCATTCAAAAGTGGGTGAAGATTACTAACAAAAAATACATTTTTACAAAAGAAATCATTAAAAATATTAAATATATATATAAAATTCTTGTCGTTAGTCCGTCCGTCACACCCTCTGAAATAGCCATATATTGACCGATCGAAATAAAATTTTGGGGAGAAGTGCAAACAGGTAAGTGGCGGGGGGGTACAAAGTACAATTGGTTTTACTCGGGTGCGTAACTTAGTACAATAAATTTGTGTTAATTTTGTGGAAAAATTAAAAGTTTTATTATTTTTCATTAAAAATACTCGCACTATTTTAAAACAATTTAATGATTAAAATAACAAATACTTATTTAATAAAAATGCAATATTGTTTTTTCATATCTTTCCTTTAAATTTTTATATATACAAGAATCTAATTTCAAGTTCGCCAGCGTTTGCTAGAACTATAAACAAATCACAAGGTCAAACGCTTCAATAAGTTGAAATTTGGCGCCAAAAAGAAATATTTACGCATGACCAGTTGGATATTACATGTTCAAAATTAAGAAAGCTTAAGAATTTATTATACGCTGTTAAGAAAGGAAAAAAAGAAATTTCCTTAAAAAATATTGTTGACCATAAAGTCCTATAAAATTAAATTAAATTAAATTAAATTAAATTAAACGGGTTTTGTCAAAGTATTTTTCAAACAAATTAGCTGATTCAAATTTCATCGAATGGTTTGCGAAATTAGATGAAACATAATTTGAAAATCTCAATAAAAACGTTAGGGATAACTTCAACAATACTAAATCAGTCAGTTATGCGCCATGCGTGATACATGCTTAGGCGATCATGTATCTTTCGATACATGACTGACGAGGCAGATTTTTTCCCCGAAGTAGGTTGCCATTTCTTTCTGCGGAAAACCAGTTGCCATCCAAGGCTATAGAACCCGGTCTGTCCTTAGCTGAGGGGAGAAGAAGAGGATTCATACCTTTCCCAAGGGTATTAGCATGTAAGTGAATGTAATGGATTCGAACTCGGCTCTCCGATTCCTCAATCCGCGCCGCTATTCATTTCTCCACCGCGCCTCCTCAAAACTAGTCTAGTATACTTACGCCATGGATTGCCGCAGATTAACAATTACCACGATATGGTAACTACTGATATAAATGTTTCTAGTTGAAACAATTCAGATTATAATGCAGTTGAAAATGTAATAAAACTACTTTTACTTCTTGATTTCACCTTAAAATGCAATATTCAAGAGGCGATTACACAACAATTTGAAAAACGTTCAGCGGAGCAATACACACAAGTAACAAATAATGTAAACAAATCTTCCATTCTTGAGCTATGGGTGTATTCATATCAATCATTATTACTCACAGCAGTATTAAATAGCAACATTTAGGATAATATACAATCTATATTTCTAATTAAAATTTTTTATCATGGTGTTAAATAACAACATTCAGCATAACATGCAAACTTTATTTTTCAATAAAACATTATACGGTTTTTTTCGGTGTTAAACAACAAAACATTTAAGATTTCATAAAATCTTTATTTCTCATTACAAAATAAGAAAACATGGCACCCACACATGCATAATTAAAACCCTTTAAAATTATTATGCTCATCATCATCTGATGTAAAGAGGTCATCATAAACATCGAGATTTACAGTTTCGTCACATAGGTCCCTATCCGTTGTTTTATACGACGCATATCAGATAAAATTACGAAAACTTACTTAAATTTTGGGTTTCATCTTATCTATAAATCATCTTATATGGAAATATATGGTAAAATCTCGTTGACGGTAAAATCTCATGACGGTAAAATCTCTTTGACAGTAAAATCTCATGACGGCAAAATCTCGTTGTCGGTAAAATCTCGCTGACGACTCATTGTTGACTTTCTTTTTCTTTCAAACACATTTTTATCCGGAATGATAAACGTTTGAAGGAAATTAATTCGTATGTGTATTTTTGTTTTATTTCTGAAAAAACAATTTGTACGTCAAAAAGATGTCTTCTCCAATGTTCTCCATTTTATTTTCTTTCTTAACAGCTCCTTGTCGTCTACTTAGATGGGCAATGAAGTAAACAAACATTTTTTTTTACTGGCAATCTGGAGCCGTTTTTGTTAAATCATAACATTCGCGTCGATCTGCTAATATCACTGACTGATAAAACAAATTACCAACACTTCTGGCAACGGATAAACTCTCGCGAGATTTTCATCAAGAGTGTTCCAATATTTGTCCTACATATTTGTTTATTTCATTCGAATAAACATCTCTATTTTCATTCTTTGAATATGCCTAATTTTGTTTTCACTCCTTTTTCTTTCTTGTCAAATCAGTATTTTACTTAAGAAGATTTTCTTTGCTCGGCCCTAAGTGTGGAGAAACCACATAGAATCGAACTCACTGTATTAGCGAATTGGGCTGCAAGAGGAAGTTTCTAATCTGTAGCGAGGCCATCTTTTTACTGATAATATTGTCGCGAATGTAACTCTAGACGTGACAAGTACCATTATTATTATTATTATTATTATCATCATCATCATCATTATTATTATTATTATCATCATCATCATTATTATTATTATTGTTGTTATTATTATTCCTTTTCCTCTTCCTCTTCTTCTTCTTCTTCTTCTGCTAATTTTAAGTTTCTTATTTCCTTTCTCTTCTTTTCTTTCTTTTGTTTTCTGTTTTTCACTATTTTTCATTTCTTTCTTTTTCTTCTATTCTTTTTTCCCCTTGAGTTCCTCTTTTGCTTCTCACTTTTTTTTTTTTTTTTTTTTTTTTTTTTCTAGAATTACTAGTTTTTAATAATGGAGCAAATATAAACGTTTTTCATCTTTCTTCTTCTTCTTCTTCTTCTTCTTCTTCTTCTTCTTCATTTTCTTCTTCTTCTCCTCTTCCTCTTCCACCTCCTCCTTCCTCTATTATTTATCTTTTCTACTGATGGCGAGGAATGTGGACAACGCCCAAACGCCTCGAGATACGTATGGGCGTGTTACCTGTTCTGCCAGATTGCGATGCACCAGGAAAGCCAGCAGCCACTTTGGTTGGGAAAGAAACTATACGGTTGAAAAATTGAAAAGTAAAATAAAAAGAAAGATACAACGTCAATGAGAGAGTGTGCAGAAAGAGAGAACGTAAAAGGAAGAGAGACAGGGACGAAAGTTAGAGAAAGGAAATTAACACGAATTGGGAAAAGAAAAATGACACTGATGTTTAAAAGGAGTAAGAGGGGGAAAAAAGATAAATAACGCGGGAAAATAAAAGAACAACAGAAAATTACATAAAGGGAATTAAATTAGAGAGACTAAAAAGAGCAACAGGTGAAAAAGAGAATAAATAAAAAGGAATTGATAGAAAGGACATAAAAGAGAGAGAGTGTGTGTCGGTGTGTGTGTGTGTGTATAAAAGAAAGTGATAAAAATAACAAAGAAAAAAATTTAGAATCTCCCGGGGAAATGTAGGTACAACAAAGGAAACATTTCTATTTGGAAAGACAGAAACAGTAGACCTTAGCTACGGAAGGATAGAAAAAGAGCGCAAAAGAGAAAAAGGCTATAAAAAGGCGGATAGAAACAAAGAAGAGAGACAGTTTACGAAAAGAAGAAGAAAAGAGAGAGAAAGTAGTGAAGATCAAGTATAAAATAAAAGATTGGGCAGGATCTGGTTAGAAGTGGACAAAAAATGACATGAATGGGTTGGAGAATATAAGGATAAAAGGTGAATGAATTACAGAAGAAGAGTCTAAATGAGAAAGGGAGGGAAGATAGACATTTCGATGAGAAGAAGGTTGGTTACAGAGAAAATGACGGGAGGAAGAGAGAACGAAATAGAAAAAGAGATAAGTATAGGAAAATATAGCGAAGTAAAAGAGAAAAGAGAAGGATAAAAATGCTTGAATAGAGAATAAATAAGAGAGAAAAATTGACAAAAAGGTGTTGAAAGAGGAATAAAAGAGGATAATTATTTTGAAAGCAGGACAGAGAATGAAATGTTAGAAAGAAAAAAGTGAAGAGAAGAAAGATTACGGAACGGAAAAGACAGAAATGGTAAAAAAAAAAAAGAAAAAGTGAAAGGGAAAATTTAAAACAATATAAAACCATCAATGAGAGAAAATGAGATGAAAATTTGAAGGAATTCTAAGAAAGAATTCGAAAGAGGAATTAGACAAGGAGAGAAAGAGTAAACAACGAAAAAGACAGAAAGGGAAAAAGCGAGAAAAGGAAAGTGAAAGGGAGAAGGTAAAATATGAGAGAAAAAATGTGAAGAAATTTTAAGAAAGAATTCGAAAGAGAAAATTGACAAGTAGAGAAAGAGTAAGCAACGAAAAAGACAGAAAGGGAAAAAGCGAAAAATGGGAAGTGAAAGGGAGAGGGTAAAATATTTATTTAAAAAAAAGCATCAATGAGAGAAAAAAAAATATGAAGAAATTCTAAGAAAGAATTCCAAAAAGAAAATTGGCAAGACGTGAAAGAGAATGGAACGGAAAAGACAGAAAGGGGAAAAAGCGAGAAAAGGAAAGTGAAAGGGAGAGGCTAAAATATATAACACAACCAATGAGAGAAAAAAAATGTGAAGAAATTCAAAGAAAAAATTTGAAAGGGAAAAGTGACAAGGAAAGAAAGAGTGAGCAATGGAAAAGACAGAAACGGAAAAAAACGAGAAAAATGGAGTGAAAGGGAGAGGGTAAAAATAAAAAAATATAAAATAAAAAACCATGAATAAGAGAAAAAAATGTGAAGAAATTTTAAGAAAGAATTTGAAAGAGAAAATGGCAGGAAGAGAAGAACAATAACGACAAAGATAGAAAGGGAAAAAAACGAGTAAAAGGTAATGAAAGGGAGAGGGTAAAAAAATATCACTGAGAGAAAACGAGATGAAAACTGAATCATACGGATTTCCTACATTTTTCAACCGATTTCAACAAAACTTCACAGGACTACGTAAAATTACCTTGCGATGGTTCTGACAGCACCAAAAATTGGAAAAATATTTGTTTTTGCACGAAATCAATTTGAAAACACGATTAAGAAGCATCGCAAAAATGAAAGGGGGACAACTCATATCGACTTATACTTATTATAAAACCCAGGATTGTGTGTGTGTGTGTGTGTGTGTGTGTGTGTGTGTGTGTGTGTGTGTGTGTGTGTGTGTGTGTGTGTTCGTTCGTTTATATATGGGATCGGATTTCCTACATTTTCAACCGATTTTAACAAAACTTCACTTTTTTTTTTTTGCAGGTAATATTTTCTTATTGTCCTGCACACTTTTTTCTTTATTTTACATTCAGAATGCTTTAAAAAATCCATTTACAAGACAATTGTTTATAATAAAATTCTATTCAATCGATAGACTCATAACGATTGAAAACAATGCTTTTGTTTGAGTTTGACCAATTCGTAAAAAAAAAAAAAAAGTATTTAAGACATGCGTGTCCATCAACCTTAAACAATAATCTTTGTCAATTTTATTTTTCAGTCTTTATGATAGTCGATAGTTGATCTATCTCTTACTGTTACATCCCCGGGCAACGCCAGGCTCTACTGCTAGTGAATTATAAAAAAGAATTTCAAAGTGACAATGGACAAGTAGGGGGAAAGAATAACTAACGGATAAAATAGAAAGGAAAAAATGTAAGAAAAGAGAATAGAAAGGAAATGGGTAAAATATATAAAATTATCAATGAGCGAAAAAGAGATGAAAATGTGAATGAAAATGTGAATGAAAATGTGAATGAACTCTAAGAAAAAATTCGAAAGAGGAAATGAATAAGGTGAGAAGTAAGGACACATCCAGAAATAAAGGGTAGAAATAAATAAAATGTTCCAGAGAGATGGAAATAATTTTTTTTTTTCTTATTTTCGAAGAAGGGAAAGAAATAAGTGTTCGAAAGCGAAGAGAAGATACATAGAAAAAGGGAAGGAATATGAAGAAAGAAAAAGAGAAAAATGCTGAATTAAAAGTGAAATGGACAAATGAGATCCTTTTCAAAGCAGTCGTCGAAAAACGCAAAGTCTAAAGAATTTCAACAACAATAACATCAAAAAATCCAAAAGCAAAAAAAAAAACGAAATACATCTCAAAATAAGCACACCCACACCCAAACTCGTACCTATATGTATACACTCATATATACATATAAATATATAAATGCGTCTGTGTGTGCCTGTCTGTTTGTGTGTGTGCGCGCGTGTGTGTGTGTGTGTGTGTGTGTGTTTATATGCGTACGTGTATGTGTGTACACGAGAATATTTTTTGTTTATCATCGGATCCACCCAGTTCGCCACGATCTTGATATTGCAAGACGAAAGCATCATCATCACCTCTCATTTCAGCACGCCATTCCCGCCAAAACCACCATCATGATAACCACCAACTCCAATACCAACACCACCACTGACATCACCACCACTACCGGCGCCACCATTTCCACCACCTGATTCCTGCCTTAACCCCTCACAATACCAATGTTTTTTGCGTTGAAGTTCATTTGCGCCCTTATTTTATTATTATTTTTATTATTATTATTATTATTATCATTATTAGTTTAATGATTTTTTTTCAAGAAAACAAAAAATCTAATATCTTTATTGTACTTAGGACTCTAAATGACGTCAATAAGCAATTATAAAACACACACACACACATACACACATACACACATATGCTGAAACATGTATATATGTATATATAACAACTATTCCTATTCTGAGGACTATGTGGGCGATATTGAAGCAAAAACTATTTTTGAGTGGATGTCATGGCACTTGTAAGAAAGGGCGTTAGTTTTCCCTCTGATCTCTTTTGGTAAGATGGTAAACTCATTTTTATATCTTATGTTAATTCATTTGAAATAAACACTAAGTTACCTTACTTTATTCCGGATATTATTCCTTTAGTTGGTCTTCTCAATTCGCCAAAAGAAATGGTCCGTTCTTTCTGTGTTTCTAAGGAAGTCAAACATCGCACGTAGGCGATTTTTTTTTCCAGAATTTTAGAACTACCCGATCGCAAGTGGCAACATTCTAATATGTAAAATTCATGACTTACATAAAGTCTTGAAATTAATTGAAAAAAAAATTTGTTCAGTTTAATGAAATATTAGATCCGTGTTCGAGTCTTGCAGTAACACCTTCAGTGTTACTGCAAGATTTTATTCAGAAATTTTCGAAATTTGGTTGCCACGTAACATTGATCTTCTATTGGAGAAATCATATTTCTAGGTTAACAAAAATTCATTTCCCATCCTAACGAGCCACAATTAAAATCAGTAAAAACTGATATAGGATAATATCGAACAGGTGTTTTTCACGTTTCTTTAAAAAAAAAAAAAAATTCAGGCTTAAACCTTAAACAATTAATATGGATCCGTGGTTCAGCCTTTCACAGAACTTTCCGAAAAATATACCCGGTAAGTCAATGAAACCTTGCAAATTTTAACGGTTGAAAAAAAAAAGACAAGGCAAAAATTTATTTACAAAAGTATTTTAAAATCGATAAAGTATACAGTATATTTTCGTTTACTTTATGAAATTTATTCTTTCCAAATAGAAATTCTCTATAATCGATACACTGTTTCTAGAAGTATTTTTGTAATTGTTAGCAGCCTTCAGTTCGTCATTTCTTGTTGGTCCGATGTTTGTAGACCTCATCATTTAGGTAGCCCCAGAGAAAACAATAACATTGGGGGAGATCAGACGGGCGTGCAGGTTATTCAAGTTTACCGTGTATGGGGTTTAACTGTGATGGAAAGCGCTCCCACAAAACGTCTATCGATTTTCTCGCTGTGTGAGCAATGGCTCCATCGTATTGAAGCCATACACCCAAATAACCAAGGTTTGTAAGTTTTGTTTCCAGAAAACGTTTGTAATATCTCTACGTACCGATTAAAATTTATTTTCTTATCATGAAAACCATAAGAGCCCCAAGCACCAACATTTTCAGGAGCGCACCATACGGTAACTTGTAACTCAGTAGAAAATAATTTTGACAATTGACACAGCCAGACATATGAAATTTGGGTACGTCACTTGCAAAAAGAACAGCATGTATTCGACGATTGACGCGGCCAGATATATGAAATTAGGGGTTCGTCACTTGTAAAAAGAACATCATTTGTGGGACGGCTGACGCGTCCAGACATATGAAATTGGGGTTCCTGACTTGTAAAGAGAACAGCATTTATGGGACGACTGACGCGTCCAGATATATGAATTGGGGTTCGTCAGTGGAAAAGTGAACAATATTTATTCGGCGTTTGACGCGGACAGAAATGAAATTGGGGTTCGTGACTTGTAAAGAGAACAGCATTTATGGGACGACTGACGCGTCCAGACATATGAAATTGGGTGTCGTCACTTCTAAAGAGAACAGCATTTATGGGACAACTGACCCGGCCAGATATATGAAGTTGGGGTTCGTCACTTGTAAACAGAACATCATTTATGGGACGATTGACGTATCCAGACATATGAAATTGAGTGTCGTCACTTGTAAAGAGAACAGAATTTATGGGACGATTGACGCGTCCAGACATATGAAGGTGGGCTTCGTCTTTTATAAAGAGAACAGAATTTATGGTACGGTTGACGCGTCCAGACATATGAAATTGGGTGTCGTCACTTGTAAAGAGAACAGCATTTATGGGACGGTTGACACGTTCAGACATATGAAATTGGGTGTCGTCACTTGTAAAGAGAACAGCATTTACGGGACGATTGACGCGTCCAGACATATGAAATTGGCTGTCGTCACTTGTAAAGAGAACAGCATTTATGGGACGGTTGACGCGTTCAGACATATGAAATTGGGTGTCGTCACTTGTAAAGAGAACAGCATTTATGGGACGGTTGACGCGTCCAGACATATAAAATTGGGTGTCGTCACTTTTAAAGAAAACACCATTTATGGGACGACTGACGCGTCCAGACATATGAAGTTGGGCTTCGTCATTTGTAAAGAGAACAGCATTTACGGGACGATTTACGCGTCCAGACATATGAAATTGGCTGTCGTCACTTGTAAAGAGAACAGCCTTTACGAGACGACTGACGCGTGCATACATATGAAGTTGGGGTTCGTCATTTGTAAAGAGAACAGCATTTACGTGAGGGTTGACGCGTCCAGACATATGAAATTGGGTGCCATCACTTGTAAAGAGAACAGCATTTATGAGACGACTGACGCGGGTAGACATATGAAGTTGGGCTTCGTCACTTGTAAAGAGAACAGCATTTATGGGACGGTTGACGCGTTTAGACATATGAAGTTGGGATTCGTCAGTTGTAAAGAGAACAGCATTTATGAGACGACTGACGCGTTCAGACATATGAAATTGGGTGTCGTCAGTTGTAAAGAGAATAGCATTTATGAGACGACTGACGCGGACAGACATATGAAGTTGGGCTTCGTCATTTGTAAAGAGAACAGAATTTATGGGACGGATGACGCGTTCAGACATATGAAATGGGGTGTCGTCAGTTGTAAAGAGAACAGCATTTATGAGATGACTGACGCGGACAGACATGAAGTTGGGCTTTGTCATTTGTAAAGAGAACAGCATTTACGGGACGGTTGACGCGTACAGACATATGAAATTGTGTGTCGTCACTTGTAAAGAGAACAGCATTTATGGGACGGTTGACGCGTTCAGTCAAATGAAATTGGGTGTCGTCACTTGTAAAGAGAACAGCATTTATGGGACCGTTGACGCGTCCAGACATATGAAATTGGGTGCCGTCACTTGTAAAGATAACAGCATTTATGTGACGACTGACGCGTCCAGACATATGAAGTTGGGCTTCGTCACTTGTAAAGAGAACAGCATTTATGGGATGGTTGACGCGTTTAGACATATAAAATTGGGTGTCGTCAGTTGTAAAGAGAACAGCATTTATGAGACGACTGACGCGTCCAGACATATGAAGTTGGACTTCGTCATTTGTAAAGAGAACAGCATTTACAGGAAGGTTGACGCGTCCAGACATATGAAATTGGGTGTCGTCAGTTGTACAGAGAACAGCATTTATGAGACGACTGACGCGTGCATACATATGAAGTTGGGATTCGTCAATTGTAAAGAGAACAGCATTTATGGGACGATTGACGCGTTCAGACATAAAAATTGGGTGTCGTCAGTTGTAAAGAGAACAGCATTTATGAGACGACAGACGCGTGCAGACATATGAAGTTGGGCTTCGTCATTTGTAAAGAGAATATCATTTATGAGACGGTTGACGGGTTTAGACATATGAAGTTGGGGTTCGTCACTTGTAAAGGGAACAGAATTTATGAGACGACTGACGCGGACAGACATATGAAGCTTGGCTTCGTCATTTGTAAAGAGAACAGCATTTATGGGACGGTTGACGCGTCCAGACATGTGAAGTTGGGCTTCGTCATTTGTGAAGAGAACTGCACTTGCAGGGCGGTTGACGCGTCCAGACATATGAAATTGAGTGTCGTCACTTGTAAAGAGAACAGAATTTATGGGACGATTGACGCGTCCAGACATATGAAGGTGGGCTTCGTCTTTTATAAAGAGAACAGCATTTATGGTACGGTTGCCGCGTCCAGACATATGAAATTGGGTGTCGTCACTTGTAAAGAAAACAGCATTTATGAGACGACTGACGCGTGCATAAATATGAAGTTGGGCTTCGTCACTTGTAAAGAGAACAGCATTTATGGGACGGTTGACGCGTTCAGACATATGAAATGGGGTGTCGTCAGTTGTAAAGAGAACAGCATTTATGAGACGACTGACGCGAACAGACATATGAAATTGGGCTTCGTCACTTGTAAAGAGAACAGCATTTATGGGACGGTTGACGCGTTCAGACATATGAAATTGTGTGTCGTCAGTTCTCAAGAAAACAGCATTTATGGGACGGTTGACGCGTCCAGACATATAAAATTGGGTGTCGTCACTTGTAAAGAGAACAGAATTTATGAGACGACTGACGCGTGCATACATATGTAGTTGGACTTCGTCACTTGTAAAGAGAACAGCATTTATGGGACGATTGACGCGTTCAGACATATAAAATTGGGTGTCGTCAGTTGTAAAGTGAACAGCATTTATGAGACGACTGACGCGTGCAGACATATGAAGTTGGGCTTCGTCACTTGTAAAGAGAACAGCATTTATGGGACGGTTGACGCGTCCAGACATATGAAGTTGGGGTTCGTCACTTGTAAAGAGAACAGCATTTATGAGACGACTGACATATGAAGTTGGGCTTCGTCATTTGTAAAGAGAACAGGATTTACGGGACGGTTGACGCGTCCAGACATATGAAATTGGGTGTTGTCACTTGTAAAAAAAACACCATTTATGGGACGATTGTCGCGTCCAGACATATGAAGTTGGGCTTCGTCATTTGTAAAGAGAACAGCATTTACGGGACGGTTGACGCGTCCAGACATGTGAAATTGGGTGTCGTCTTTTGTAAAGAGAACATCATTTATGAGACGACTGACGCGTGCAGACATATGAAGTTGGGCTTCGTCACTTGTAAAGAGAACAGCATTTATCGGACGGTTGACGCGTTTAGACATATGAAGTTGGGGTTCGTCACTTGTAAAAAGAACAGCATTTATGAGACGACTGACATATGAATTTGGGTTTCGTCATTTGTAAAGAGAACAGCATTTATGGGACGGTTGACGCGTCCAGACATATGAAATTGGGTGTCGTCACTTGTAAAAAAAACACCATTTATGGGACGATTGTCGCGTCCAGACATATGAAGTTGGGCTTCGTCATTTGTAAAGAGAACTGCATTGATGGGACGGTTGACGCGTCCAGACATATGAAGTTGGGCTTCGTCACTTGTAAAGAGAACAGCATTTATGAGACGACTGACGTGTGCAGACATATGAAGTTGGGCTTCGTCACTTGTAAAGAGAACAGCATTTATGAAACGACTGACGCGGACAGATATATGAAGTTGGGCTTCGTCATTTGTAAAGAGAACAGCATTTACAGGACGGTTGACGCGTCCAGACATATGATATAGGGTGTCGTCACTTGTAAAGAGAATAGAATTTATGGGACGACTGACGCGTCCAGACATATGAAGTTGGGCTTCGTCACTTGTAAAGAGAACAGCATTTATGCGACGGTTGTCGCGTTCAGACATATGAATTTGGGGTTCGTCATTTGTAAAGACAACAGCATTGATGGGACGATTGAATGCGGTCAGCCATATGAAGTTGGGGTTCATCAGTTGTAAAGAGAACTGTATTTATGGGGACATTCTGAGGGATACTTTTTGGTCAGAATTCAGTCCTTTTACGGTGAAATTTCAGTGGCCACGTCAGGGAGCCTACATAGCCTCTTATTTATAGAATCCGTCCGCTGCCCAGACAACATGGCCTCGCTCTCCACCATACTGACAAGATCTTATAGAATTCAGGGCATTACATTTGGGGAGGGCTTGATTACAAGAGTTGCCGTAAACTTGTCAGTGTTGACAAGCCAACCGTTTATGGGCTCTATTCCGCGTTTTCTGTCTGGATTTACTTCCATAGCCTTTTCCATGTTTGGATATGACCACAAGGTAACGGAATTTTAAAATCAGGGTTTTCCTTCTCCTCTGACTTTCTGAACTGTACAGCTCCATCTATCCGAAGTAGCTGGTTATGAGACACCAAGTTTCCGTCTTCAGCCATTCTCCTGTTTGGAGCTGGACTTGTCAAAGTCTACCTGACACGCATGCCTTGGAAGCATTTTATAGACAGTAAGAACTTTTCGTCACTATCACCCTCAGTTATGACAACCTTCGGAACATATATAATGTACATATATAAACATTAAATACATTGCATATAAATTTGACGGTTTCTTTTTAAATATATAAAACATTTGGTAGTGGGTACCTCGTCGTGGTGTAATGGTTAGCACGCTTGTCTTGCTAGAATAATTATGACTTACTAATGAGTTCGATCCTCACTGGGTGCCCCATACTTTCGCCTTCGTGCCACATCTAAGCTACGCTTAGAAAATTGTTAGGCAAGCAAAAACACTATAAAAGCAAGACAAATTACGAAAAAAATGTACATTATTAATATATCGAAAATCTTGTTAATAGAAAATAATAATATGAATAATTAGCTACATAAAGACAACACTACCTTGTTTCGCTAACACTACACCAATAGCCGTGTAAAATGTGTGAGGGTTTATTATCGTAACCTGGATAATCTACTGCTTCTCTGTACGTCAGACATTGTCTACGTTTGATTTTGCTATTTATTATACACACAGGCACATAAATACACACACAATATGATTGAATTTGAAATAAGATATTAGAATAATACCCTTCAACTCCGTCTAGACAACGCCTACCCTGTGATGAGCCACAAATTTCTAAAACTGGAGATAAGGAAAAATAAAGAAAAAAATTATCAACGGCTTATGTCCGTCTAGCTGTCTCTTTACTTATATAAGTCTATGGCTGTTAAATAAAATAAATAAAAATAGATAAAGATCATCAGCATTTTTTTTCTGACCTACAGTGAGAAAGATTTAGTACCTTACCTCTAATTATTTCACTCTGTTTCTGCCTATTAATCATACAGCAATGTCGTTCTATTTGTTTCTATTTAAAGATGACATCTAAACATAAAACATGTCAGTTTAAAGATGGCCACAGAGTAAATATCCCGTTTATTATTTATATGGTGATAAAGTGAATTTCGGTTAAACTGTTTAAAAAATTAATGGCCACAAAAGGTGAATTCAAATAAAATTGCCACCAATGGAATGAGAGGAAAAATGCTACGACTAATTTCTCAGTGAAAAACCAAATAATTTTTTAAACTATATCAAAAAATTATAACAATATGATTTTATTGAACGTTTCAGAAATTCGGTAATAAATTAAATTCTCGTGAAACAAAATATATAAATTCACTTTCATCTTATGTTTAGGTTTTATTACAATCCTAATCATCGATTTTTAAAACAATAAAAATTGTCGAGGGGTGAAGGTAGTTAAAATAATAGCGGAGTGAAGGGAAAAACCGTCCTTTTGACACACAGTTTTTTTTTTTGTTCTTTGTTTTTTTTTACGGGCACGAATATGAATATCAATAGCGTTTATTTCCTATAAATTCTTCTCACACTGAGTCTAGATAACCGCTACCTTCGACTGAGCAATAAAATCCTACATCTGGACCCCCCCCCCAAAAAAAAATGAATAGGGTTAGGGTTTCATATCCGCCAAACTGTCTCTTTGCTTATGTGTGCGTATGGATGTAAATTAAAAATATCAACTTTCTTTTTACCTCCAGTAAAGGAGAGTTTTAGTATCTTATCGATAATTATTTCATTCTGTTTCTATCTAATGATATCAGTCCATCCTTATCTATCATATATCAATACCAGTCCATCTATATCTAATTATTGGCACCTAAAACTTACCAACATAGAGAGAGCCACAAAAGAAATATCCAGTCTATTACTTTTGACGGTAACATGAATTTAGGCTATACTTTAAAAGAAAAATACTGGGAACAAAAGTTAATTCAAGTAAAATTGATTCATTCATTCATTTTTTACGGGTTATCAAACTTTTGCAGGTTATTTAAAGCCAGAAAATATTTTTTTTATATTGTAAGATTTTTTTTTAGATAATGGTTTAGTAGGTCTTACTAATTAACCCATAGCTGGAGGAGAAGATGAATTCATACCTTTCCCAAGGTTATTTGCGCGTAAGTGAATATAAGCGAAACCAAATGGAATTGGAACTCGGTACTCCGATTAACAATTCCGACCCATTATCTGTTGCACCATCTGCACATCCAAGCTTAGAATACCTGGTATTCCCAAGAAGTCATCCATCTAGGTACTGAACAGACTTGACGTTGCTTAGGTCCGGTGACCGTACGGAAAACGGTGTTTCGATATGATCTGGACGTAAGCCTGAACTAAAATTGGCACAAACTGGAATGAAAGAAAAAAAAAGTAATGATACGACAAATTTCTCAACAAACAAACGGCAATTTCTCGAATCTTAAAACCACAGATAATTATAAGATTTTAATGGAGTTATCCGAAATTAATCGATTATAAATAAAGTTACATTTTAAAACTCGTTTTTTTTTTAAAATTTTGTTGAAATATTTTTAAGTCGGTCACTGACTTAAATAAAAAATGTGCCTGCGTAAACATACGTGCACATACAATTTAAAATTAAACTGCAATGGACATAGTTTAATTTCTCTTGCTGCCTGACAAAACCCTTAGCAAGAAAACTGTATAAGTCGAAATGTACGGCTTTTTGTGAATCATTCTCAAATCCTTTCAATTGAATATATTTTCTAATAATGTAGTATCTATAATGGACAAACAATTTATATTTAAAATTTGATCATCTTACCATCAACGAATCAACCAATACCCGACTAGGTTTTGAAACCGACTCCCAAGAGGATACTTCCCGCATTACTACACTCTTAATCTGTTCAAGTCTGGGGTTGACCGTTATCATACCGATATATCTTCATAAATTGTGCCTCTTGCTCTATTTCGAGTGATTCCAGAGTCTTGCACAAGGTGAACGTCATTGTAAAAAAAATATTTAAATTTGGCAAGTAAAAGTTGTTCGATCGCATCTTTCTTATTTCTCTCTTTTTAAAATCTGCTTTCGTCAAAAAATGTCTAATTTTAATCTTCAATAAAGCAGCAAAATTGAGCAAGATTTGTGGACTACGCTCTGTCTTTTTATATAATGCGCAAATAACTAATATCTAGAAATATATATAAATAAGTAATAACGAGATGATTGCACGCTTCGAAGATTGCGATTTCAGTTTTTAAAAAAACACTTTTTTTTAATTAACGGTTACTAGAAACGACATTAATATACATAAGTATTGAATTGAAAAAGTGAACTGCATGATTAAATTTATGAACATAAAATTTTCCTTAAGACACAAAACTGTCTACACATACATATGTACACAAATCAATGCATGGTTTAACATACAGGAATTTTCTGAATGTTTTTTGTTAGCTTTTTTTTTTCTCGTAAACACCCTTCATTATTTTATTGAACGCGTCCGTAACTAAATGTTGTCACTCAATTTCAAAATAGCTTCATAGAAAGACAGCTGTTTTAAGTTTTACAAATAGGTAAATGCCAGTGTCAAAAATTGATTAGTAGCAATCTGCATATGAAAAGATTTATCGGGATACGCCTTTCGCATATATGTTCACATAACGTTATATATATGTTATATATATATATATAGATGTACACATAACGTTATATATATATATATATATATATATATATATATATATATATATATATATATATTTATATATACATATATATATATATTTGTATATATATATATATATATATATATATATATATATATATATATTTGTATATATATATATATATATATATATGTATGTATATATTTGTATATATATATATGTATATATACAAACATATATATATATATATATATATATAACATTATATACACATACACACCCACATGTGCCACTATTGCTTCTGTGGTGATCCGTAATATTATGTGTGGTCCTGGTCTTAGGAGCAATCTGCATACGAAAAGATTTATCAGGATACGCCTTTCGCATACACACAAATGTACACATAACGTGATAGATAGATAGATAGATAGATAGATAGATAGATAGATAGATAGATAGATAGATAGATAGATAACATTATATACACATACATACGAACATGTGTCACTATTGCTTCTGTGGTGATCTGTGATATTATGTGAGGTCCTGGTCTTGGCTTTATTGTTGAGAATTGCGAGATTAGCACACTCTCAATATATTTTCTTCTTAGTGAGTCCTTTTCCCTACTGATCAGACTGACATTTACTACGTCGAAATAATTTATCCAACATTAACCTAAAATTCATCAACTTCGCCTTTAAAACAAGAAGAGATATAGTTCGAACCAAACAAGATAGCAACAACAACATGACAGAGGCAGGGATATAGAGCATAGATTGTACAAAATGCCCCTTGATTTATATCGGCGAAATATCGGGAAACCTTTAAAAAAGAGACTGTATGAGTGTCGCAGAGATATGCTGAATAACAACTCTTTAAATTCACTGTAAAACATATGACCAGAATTTCGACTAACTATGCCAAGAGTCCCAACCTGTTCGATTTTCTAATGTCGCCCTAAAAGGATAAACCCACTCTACGTTATCGTTGATCCAAGTCTTGTGAATTAAAATGATTATATAAAACTGTTCAGAAGCAATCGATGGTTGTGCGAGCGCAATGTTAAGTTGTCGTGACCGAGTGTCTGAGGCTAATCGCCTTGTACAACGACTGATCACGCCAGAGTATGCATTCTCTCACACAAACTGTAACTAAGATCTGTTATGCATAGTTGCAATATAAACTACAGCCTTGTTCTGCGGGATTTGAAGAAACATATATATATGCCTAAATGGATGTCTGTATCAGGGATTCACTAGTCATCCAAGCAGAAGGATTTATTCGCAAATGAACAGACAGCATATATATACATACGTATATATATATATATATATATATATATATATATATATATATATATATATATATATATAGAGAGAGAGAGAGATAGATAGATAGATAGATAGATAGATAGATAGATAATATAGATAGATAATATATATATATATATATATATATATATATATATATATATATATATATATATAAATTTCAAGAGTATAAAATCCAGGTAGAACTCAATGTCCAGGACAGAGATAGAATATAATATAAAAGGCTCAAACACTAATATTCCGATTCCTTTTTGAATTTGTATATCTGATGAATTGGATCGTAATTACGATTCCAATATAATAAATTATAAGAGTGGAATATTACTGTTTGAGCCTTTTAAATAACGTATATATATATATATATATATATATATATATATATATATATATATATATATATATATCTTTCCATTCAACTCTCTCTCTCTCTCTCTCTCTCTCTATACATATATATATATATATATATATATATAGTTTTAAGGTGTGATATATTTATGGGATAAAGTACTCAATATCAAAAAGAGCGTATGTAAATATAAAATTGAACATTGAAGTCAACACTCAGAGGCGACAGGTTGTTTCATGCTAGATGCAATCGTCTGCCCGCTTGCGTCTAGCATGAAACAACCTGTCGCCTCTGAGTATTGACTTCAATGTTCACCTTTATATATATATATATATATATATATATATATATATATATATAATCGGTATCACCCATGCAAGCAGTAAAGCAAGGGGTTACAGGCTGAGGAGGAATTAGGAACAGAAATATTTGTAATGAGTAGAAAGAGAAAAGAACATTCAGGAGGACAATAAATAGCGATTCAGATTGCATTTAAATTTTTGCAGATTAAAGTTGGCTGGAAAGTATGGATCCACAAGCGAGAAGTACGGGGAAAGAAACTGTTAGCACTAAAGTTACGGCCACATCTAGCTAGCTCAACTGTAAACTGATGAGATCTCGCCGCTAGTCTAGTATTGAGCTTAAATTCATAAAAGTCTAGGTAACATAGAGAAGAGCTCATCCAAACAATTACCATGAAGATATTTGTGAAAAAAAAAAAGGCGCAAAGGGGTAACCTTACGGCGATGGGTAAGAAACTGAAACGTAGCTTTCAGATCTGGACCAATAATATTACTGATTCTTCTTTGGATCTTCTCAATAAGCTCTAGGTAAATAGCAGGGGCACCGGACCATATATGACAGCAATATTCTAAGCCTGGACAAATGATAGACTTATAAATATGCAAGATAGATTCTGGAGAGAAAACTTGTTTCGCTCGACACAATGAACCGACTTTAAAATTAAATAGGTTAACAAATATATCTACTTTGAGAACACCTGCCTATCAGCCTGAAAGAAATAATAATAAAATTAATAAAAAAAATGTTGTTGAAATGCTTGACTGTTTATTTATGGGAGACTGGTAAACAATTACAGACGAATTTAACATTCATTGAAATATCAGTACTAAACTTTTTATCCATATAATATGACTAATATATTCCTCCATATGACTATAAATATTATGTCTCTATGAATGAGATGCTGTCCAACAGGTTTGAGAAATTTAATCATCAAAAATAAATTCCTATTTTTACACAATCTCCATTGAAAGAGCCCCTTTTGTACTGTATGCAGCAAACTCATAGAGTTACTGCTCGCAGAACATAACAATAAAAGGTCGTACTACATTTGTTTCACACACACACATACATATATAGTCATCCACAGACAGACTGCTTCGCTGCATCACAGCTCATCAGTGTGACTAGACATCCGATTGCTTCAGGCCGGGACAGAAACACGACCGATTTGGTATCAGTCGGACATTCTAACCCCTAGGCCACCATCACTCAGCAGACAGAAAAAAAAAAAATTGCGTATTTATTTTTCATAAACACGCCAGTCACTCAGAGAACTCAATCGCTAGGAAAAAGTCTTGCATTATCAAAAGTAATAATGACTGTTTACAAATTCGTTACTCCACACAGTGCTCGATCGATTAAATTATTTTATCAGAGTGTCAATATTATATATATATATATATATATATATATATATATATATATATATATATATATATATATATATATATATATATATATATATGTTGCGAATTAAAATATTATATATATATTTATTTAAAAAGCTTCCTCAGAGATTAAGAAAAGTGAAACATGTTAGATCGATATCTTTTTTTATGTGCCGTGACCCTTCAGGACGTAGGTGATCATGGCTCTCCATGAATACTGGTAGGATTTTCAGTTCTCTCAGAATTGTCTCACTGTGTAGTTTGAATAAGTCCAGTGAGAAGACACATCCTTGCCTTACGCCCCTTTCTACCTTTGTATATCCGCTGATTTCATTCTCTATCTGCATGCAGGCTGTTTGTGGATCATTCGGCTGATTGCTCGATAGAGTTCACATTTACTTGCGCCTGATTTCTTAGGCAGTGCTATGAAAATAGATCACTGTTGTAGATTTCATTAATTATTTCTCTAATCTTCTCTATGCCACAATCACCTAAGGCTGTATGACCCCTGTAGTTCACTGTTACTAACAAGAAGGAATTTTTGCTACTGATGATGGCCATGCTGGCTGAAACTAATCGAGGATCCTAATTTAAAAAATAAAACAAAAATATTAATATACAACCTAGTGTGTCTCAATTTTTAATCTGCTCAATGCGTATCCAATCAAACGCTCTTCTGTGGCCCAATCGGTAAATGCACGTCAGGCTATATGACGGTTCCATACAGGGTACAGGTTCGATTCCTGTCGGAGGACGCATATTTTCTATGAAAATTTCTCGGACATTCAGGCCGGTAAATGTTGTTAATTCTGTTTATTATAAACAGAGCATTTACTTAAATATTTGTATCAATAAAAAGAACGTATAAACATAAAAATGTCTTAAAAAATATTTGTCGGACTTTGTCCATTTCATAATATGTGGGGTCATTTGTTTACATTATGATACACATAGAGCAGATATGAATATATGAGAGAAAATCATGGAGAATTGTGTTTAAATATAGTAAAAATCGACCTTGCTAACCGAACGCTCCTTTGTGGCCCAATCGGTAAAGGCACATCAAGCTATATGACGGTTCCGTATATGATACAGGTTCGATTCCTGTCGGAGGACGCATATTTTCTATGAAAATTTCTCGGACATTCAGGCCGGTAAATGTTGTTAATACTGTTTATTATAAACAGAGTGTTTACTGAAGTATTTGTATTTATAAAAAAAACGTATAAACATAAAAAATGTCTTAAAAATAATTGTCGGACTTTGTCCATTTCATAATGTATATCTATCTCAGTCTGTTATCTATCTAACAAAACTATATATGTATGTATATATATAAAACAAAACTATATATAATTTTGTTTTCGTTTTTTGGTCTTTAATAGTGTTCGGCCCTAGCAAGGCAGCAAATACAGTAAGAAACAAGATTTAAACGCATTATTATTTATTATATATTTATTAAATCTCTCTCTCTCTCTCTCTATCCCACCCCCCTCTCTCACTCTCTCTCTATCTATCTATCTATTTATATCTCACTCTCTCACTCTCTCTCTCTCTCTCTCTCTCTCTCTCTCTCTCTCTCAAAAAAAAAGATTTGCGGGAAGCTAGTATCAAAGGGGAATAACTATTGCATATTCATATTCAATTTTTCTTTAATACACGAAGCCTATTCATACTGAATACATTGTTGTTGTTTTTTTCAAGTATTCATTTCTCTTCTTTTAATTATTCCGTAATTAATCCCATTGATATCAGTGATAATATTATACCAGGATAATATTATACCATTTCTATATCATAGAAAATATATTTTAGACCGAAGAGAAAGAAATCCATTTTTCCTTATTTCTTATGTGTATGGTCTTCTTTATTGAAGATGATTGAGTTATCTCCACTGCCAAATTACTTTGATCTTTTTAGTAGTCCGGCACGCCTCATGATGAGCCATGTCTCATGCGGCCAACTTCTCGAAAAAGTTGCCCATGCCTGTTTTATTTTACATAAATATTCAACCCCTCAACTAATAAGTAGTTGTGAAATAGTGTTTTAATATACTCTAGTCATGAGAATTTATGTATACGTGTAATTTTCTTGAAGATGCCTGCAGATAAATGAAAATTTTTGATTGGATTCGGATAGTAGGTGAGGGAGATTCGACATTTGATTATATTATACTCTTCGTCATCATTTATTCAGTTAGCGCATTTTACGTCGCTATAGTTACCACTGCGGTCCATCTCACAATTATGGTTCGTGGTGACATTCAAGGTTACTTTTAGACCGGGAATGATTAGGTTACCCAGCCTTTCTCTCAGAAGTTAAAGTGGCAGGACCTATAAGATAGCAAGAGGTTTGAAATCAGAGTTTTTCATTCTCCTAGACTGGTTGCCAACCACTATAATCGTGACCTCTTCAAGTCTACGATTTACCTTTATCTTTCCTACATTAACCCTATAAGTTCACTTCCTAACATTTCGTATGCTCATACAGCACCAGACAGAAATCTTCTAACTTGAATGGCTCTCGGACCTTCTATTGGGGGAACATTAGTATAAAATACATACATGTTTAAAGGAACTGACTAGAAACAGATTGTACTTAATACATAGACTTTAGAATAGCCGACCGAGATTTGTCCTATGTCAGGACTTGGGAGATGAAGTACGCGTTTTTGCTTTAATGAAAACTAAAGAGCTAAACACAAACTCAAGAGAATACTAAAAATCAGTGCATTTTTTATTTGAGCCATTTCCTTGGGTGGGGCTCTATAAAGCAGGGTTTTGAAGGTCGTCCCAGGGGTTGTCCCTTATCCTACATTCCTGAGCGGTCGAATGTCCAGATGGGGTTGAATTGCTGCCAAGTATTGGACATGGTGGCACGGGATGGGCATGGTTAGCGGGTATTTTTTGTTTTTGTTTTTTTTGTTTTTTTTTCCATCTTGTTTCCTGTTACAGTTTAACAAGAACGTAATAGAAAAAATATCCATTCTACTCTTTGTCAGAATTTTCGTTTATGACTTCAAAATAATTTAAGAAATTTAACTATCTGCGAACTACTCTAACAGAAGATGGAAAATATGATACAGAAAACCGGAGAAGCATTAAAATAAAAAATGTTGCCTTTCAAAAACCAAACAAAGTACTAAGAAAGAAGAAAATACTGTTGAAAACAAATAAATGCCTGTTCAGTGCAGTGAATATTAGAAAGTATTTACAGATGAAGAGGATTTAGGTAACGGAGATATGATTCGAAAGAAAAAAAATGCTGAGAATACCATAGACGGAACATGTGAGAAACAAGGGAGTTTTAAAGAAAATAGGTAGGAAAATGACGCTTCTGCTTATGATCTGAAACAGTTAAGATTTCTCAAACACGTAATGAAGAAAGGAAGGCATGGTGAATTTGACACTCACAGCATATCATAAAAGGCAGATTGGCAGAGTGAAACAGCGTCTAACCTACCCCAAGTGCTGGTGTAAATGGATTGATTGATTGGTTCGTTTTTTACGGCTTATCTGCTCTTTGCAGGTTATTTAGTTGGAGATCCCATGCAACGCTTAACACAATTTGCGGAGAACTGAGATCAATCACTCTTAAGCTCAAACAAAAACGATTAGAGTCTGCCAGCTACTGCCACCGAGCGGACAAGTAAATCGTCTCATCCTTATTTCTATGGCATCCTTCTGGAAGTGTCTTCTCCGAAAAATTACTTTCTCATACACCATAGCTCGGGACTCAGGGTTGGATATTGGGGATCTGGAGACAGCAATACAGAACCGAACACTGTGGAAAGGGATTGTCAATGGAGTTCCGACCAACCATAGGGAGGTCGAAGGATGATGATGACGATGAAAGCCAGAAAATATTTTTTGATTGTAAGAATTTTTTTGAGATAAGAATTATTTAGTAATATAAGTCTTACTGATTAACCCATATCTTGGGGATAAAGAGGTGGATTCATACTTTTTCCAATGGCATTTGAATGTAAGTGAATATAAAGAACTAGACTGGAATTGGAACTGGGCTCTCCGATTAACAATTCCGAGCCATTATCCATTACACCACCCGCACATCCAAGCTTACAGCACATGATATTCCCAAGCGGTCACTCATATAGGTACTGACCAGGTTCGACGTTGCTTAAATTCGGTAATATGGCCGTAAGCCTGTGTAAATGGATGGCAGAATAAGGAGTGAGAGAGATAAACGTTGCTTAGTGCTATAAGTGATAGGAAATTGTGGAGAGTCATGATCGCCCACGTCCTAAAGACACAGAGTACATTAAAGAAGAAGAAAATGTTGCAAATTAAAAGAATTCACGTATTTTGCTAGAAACGCTTCGTCTTAGACAAATTAGCAAAGTTTAACATACGAAAGAAAGAACGTTTTTCTTTTGACACTGCTATTATTGTATACACACTCGGTAATTTTTGGATTTACGTATATTTTTTTCTCGAGAATTGACAACAAAGGTGTTGAGCACTATTTATTTTATTAGATAGTTTATTTACAAGAATAATGTTATGAATAATCAAGAGTGCCCCCCTTGTTTTGTTACTCTCCTCTTTGAGAGATCTATTTTTGTTTACTGGGACTGTAAAAGGACACTATACACGAACCTTGTATTCTTAGTAGAATAAAGCCTCCTTAAAGCTTAGACCTGCGTACTTTTGTCATTATAAATAATTTTATATTTTCAAGTTTATAAAATACTTGAACCAAGTACAATGCAATATTTATTATTTACCATATTATATAGAAATAGCCATGATAGCAATTTTTTACTCATAAATTTATAAAAACGTATGTGAAGAAGAGAAACGAAGAAGAAATTTGAAATAAACACAAGTACAAGTAAGTGCAATTATAATTTTTTTAATTTAAAAAAAAAATGAATTTTCCGGGCATTTCTTTCATTTGCTCCCGTCATATAAAATAGGTTGAGAGCATTTGAATTTATACTTCTTCTCCGCAAGAATTAATAGCAAAACTGTTAAACACTTTATTTATAAGACTGTTTATTTACCAAAATATTCCTTAATACTTTTGTCATCAATTCTCGAGAGACAAAACTGAGAATGCATAAACTCAGTTTCATCTCTCCCACAGGCGGCGAGATGTGTCAAGCCTCTCGCTCCTCTGCCGCTACTTCCACACGGTAAGGGCTCGAACGAACTACATTCCCTTGTCCCGACGAGGCAAATCTTCACAGCAGGAACACGCCTTACCACTTAGATAATAGTAAACCACCCACATTCCGAGCGTATTCCATTGGTGAGGTGTAAGTTCCACTCGAGTAGCTTCTTCCTGCAAACCACTGCCCTGTGAAACCGATTCCCAAAAAGATGTTTCCCACATTACTACAATCTTAACCTGTTCAAGGCTCGAGATAACCGTTATCTTCCACTACTATACACACAAATGGCCTCCAAACGTAACCCTCTACCTCGAGTGGTCCCGAGTTCTGTAAAGGGTGAACCTACCTGTAAAAAAATGTTGTTTTTTTTTATTAAAATTCTAAAAAAATAGCTTTTTAAAACGATACACATTGACGATAGTAATAAATATCTGCGTCAAGAGACAACGTTTTTTGTTTGTTAGTGTTTTGTTTTTGTTTTTTTAAAGGTTAAATTTGAATGTTTTTCCACTTCCGTCTAAAAAAAGAAAACTTAGTGAATTTAGTTATGTTGATCCTCTACACTATTTTTTACCAAATTTCTTTGGCCACGACTCGGAATAAAGAATTATTATTATTATTATTATTATTATTATTATTATTATTATTATTATTTTCTTGGGTTTCTGTTGATTTTCTTCCGGATTCCAACCAGAGATCTAAGGTCAGATATAGCTTCATGACATTTGGCACTGAAAAAAAAACACAAAAAAAAAACACTAAATTTACGCACATTTTACAAAGATAAAGCTCTTCGTAATGTGTGAGCTGAACTTGTGAGTAAAATTTTGTATATTTCTTTAAGGCATGGGCTACCAGGAATCCCTTCAATTTATCTATCGGAACCTTTTCTAATCAATCCGAGGTCTCCAACTACAACTGGAATTATTGATGTCTTCGTGTGGCATATTTTTGAGATTTCCACTTTAAGATGCTTGATTTTGACATTTTTTTTTAAAACACATTACAATCTAAAGGGACTGCTATGTCAATAAGAAAATACATTCTGATTTTTTGGTCTTTGATATTATTATTATTATTATTTATTTATTTATTTATCTAGCGACTCCCAGGACCGAAACATAATTTCAGTTCTTTTCAGCTTAGTTCACGCTTCGTCAACCTCTTTCGAGCATCGACCTTTTCAGGGATTCGTTGATACCCCATCAAGCCCCAGGTATGTAATAGAATATCGCTAATAATTATTTTTAAATTCCTTTGACCTTTTCCGATATTATGTCCTCTCAATAACATTCATTTCAATTTTACTTTTTCATTCATTTTAAAATTTCTATTTATCTTCTATGCTAAACATGTTTCATCGATTATTATTATTATATGGCAACAGTACTCCCTTTTTGGTCTGATTTGGCTCTTGTAGGGATTAAATAAAGCAGAATTGTCAGGTGCTGTTTTCTTCTTATAATGAAGTGGGTGTACCTATTAAATGATAACGGAAAACGTCACTCTTCACAGCATATTTTATTCATTCCCATATTTCGTCAGTTACTCGTCCGATACGTGGACAGTCTACTGGTGTGTGAAATATTACCCGAGAATTGCCTTTCTGGGGCTGTGGATTATATATTCATCCGCCTCGTTCCCATGCTTACAATGCAGATATAAAGTCACGTGCATTCGGCGGCTGTGACAGACGACAGTTCAACCTTCCGATGCACTTGATACCTTTTTGTTTTAATAATATATCTAGTTTTCTAACCTGCATTGGGTGATCCTTTCGAATCTCAACGTCCAAGAAAGTTTTATGTGTAGGACATATTCTTGTCTATGAATAGCAAGCGTAGCATAAGGCTGAAAGTAGGGTGTACACAGTGAGGATCGAACTCACTACTCAGTCGTAATTGTTCTTGCAAGACAAGCTTGCTAACCATTACACCGCCTCGAAGAGCCCTATTCTTGTCTATGAATATACCATTAGTGTATATGTTCAAATTTTAGTCGCTTGCACAGTTCCTAGTAGATCAACCTACAAAAACTGATTATGCCTATTCTTGTATGTGCGGAAATCTTTTCCGTTTCAAGACTTGGATCGTTTATATATGACGGATAGGTAGTCGGTCATTGCATTTGGCGTGGATCCGTGTCAAAACAAATCATAGGTTTGATGTCAAGCGGAAACACCACTCATTTGATGACATTCCAGTGTGTAACAACGTGTACAATATTCGTGACAGGGATCCGGATTAAGTAACAGTGTGAAAATTAGCGCGAATGAAATTGGCGGGAAAGAATTTGCTTGAATTGCTTAGAAAAAAAAAACATGAAAAAGAAAAGAGAGAAAAAGAAAATTTCGTAAAGAAGAAAAAGAAATAGGAATTTCGAAAGCAAAAAAAAACACAAACAATAATATCGAAAACATCGAGTAAACAGTTTTACGCTTTATTTTCATTCGTTGATTTTTTTTCAAGAAAAATCATCGCCTGATGAGCAATTTCTCGGTTAGTTAAATAATATCAAGTTCTTTGCTAAAAAAAAATCTACACCCAATTTATTCTGTCTTATACAATTACTGGGAATTTTTTTTTAAATTCTTCCAAAGATTGAGAATATATTTCGATATCTCATGACATTGGTGACTTTGACATAAAGGGAAATCGTTTGGAAGAAGGCAAGTATTTCTGAACTGAAGAGGCAGGGAATCATTTGTGGATACAGCTACATCCTCACCACATCGAAATAGCTAAACCATTTTTTTTTCTTGATAATTTTTTAAATAATCTTCTACTTCTATGCAAAAACGATGTAATATACTAAGCCACTGTAAAATCAGCAGATAATAAGGAAAATATACATATGAGTAACTGAAAGGCCTAGAAACAGAGAAACTACGCTCACAAAACATCCTTTACGAATAGTAAATACGCGAGCAACACAATGCTTTTGTTGTGGTGACCTCCCTCTAATTGAATCTATTGTTGACGCTTCCACTTACTATAAAATAGTAGGTTAGTAAGCCTCGTGGGAACAATCGACCAGACTGATCATGACTGTCAAACACTCCGCCTCGGCGGACAGGAACTTCGACGAAGCTTTGCCGAAGGGCAAAGTTTCGTCCGGGGAGGTAGACAGATATTTTTGGCCGAGCCACGTTAAACTCGGCCTTGTGCCACATACTTTCCTTGTGGGGGGGGGGACTGTTAAATATAACAGTCGACCAGACTGTTCACTGTCGAACTCTCTGCCACGGCAGAGAGGAACCCGGACGAAGCTTTGCCGCAAGACAAAGATTCGTCCGGGGAGGTAGACAGTCCCTGAACCCGTCTAGGCGGGTTCAAAGGGAATATTTTGGGCCGAGACTACGGGCTCGGAGAAACCCACGTTAAACTCGGCCTAGTGCCACATACATTGCTTGTGGGGGGACTGTTAAATATAACAGTAGTACAGATTGAACGCTGGTCAACTGACACACAGTTCCAAGTCGTGTAATACTCTTCTGTTCGATACACAATTTATCTGCAACCTCTTGTTTTGTTATTTCTTAACCATTCACTTGGTCACAACAGCTTTCTAAGCATATATGGGAAATTAAAAACAAAAAACTGAATGAGACCAAAAATATCCTGGAAAACTGTATCAGCCTTTAACAATAAATCCAGAAACTGTAAACTCTGTCTGGAGGGAGAAAATAGCTATAATTACTTCCCCAGACAAACACAAATTACTAAATAAACTATCAGAACTAATCCCAAAATGCAGACACGAAAACAAACTTTTACTACGTTACTTAAAAAGCGAAAACTAAAAACGACTACGGAAATAAATAAATAAATAAATACATTAAGTAAATGTAATTATAAGAATCAACAAGAAAATATTAAAGTAATGATTACTAAGTAATGAACAAAATGTTAACAAACAACTCAATAAAATAGCTACAAAGAATCGCGGTCGAACCCACAATTATTTCTCCTCAATCGCCTCTAGAATAATTTTAGACATAACCTTTAGCACCCAACCAATAACGGTTAGGATAATAGACCTTACTACCTATAACGCGCCATTGACCAGCATATATAAATATTCGAGCTAAAACACAACACACATACGCGCGTGCATACACATATGTGTGTGTGTGTGTGTATATATGTGTGTGTGTGTGTGTGTTGGCCGTTGGCTCCTGTTAGATCATTCACCCTTTGACGGGTTTTTTTTTTACCTGTGGGTTTGCCATGCCACCTCACCTTCCTCATCAGCAAGAAAGGTATTGGGGGAGCTGGTTTAGACACCAACCACCTGTCCATGCTGTAGATTGTACTGGGTCACAATTACCAGTAGAAGGCCAAAGCATGACAGAATAACGGAAATACGTAGCACTGATTTACTGGAAAACTGTTTTAAGAAAACAAAATGATAAATTTCAACAGACAGTAACATCAACTGGTCAGTCAAGGAATGTCTAATGTTTCCTGTTTGGAAACGGCTTTTTCACCAATCTTCTTCTTCTTCTTCTTCTTTATAGCTCTTTTGTTTGGGGGTTTTGTTTTGTTTTTTGGATTTTTTTTTATCTCTCCTACATCCATTTGCACAAGCTGGTTAGGTAGACCGTTAACAAATAAAGAATTACTCAGCGACGGGGTTTATTTCTGAGTAACACAGTTTACCCGTTGTAGAATAGCGATCCGAGAAATGCCAAATAAATCAATAGAAATAAGATAAAAGAAAGACTAGCTAAAAGTTAATAAATAAAGTTAATAATGCTCTAGCTAAGAAATTTGTAGACTCTTACATCTAATTCTACTGTTATTTTGTAACTCAGTAAATGGCTAATCAGACAGCATTGGTCTCTCTCTCTCTCTCTCTCTCTCTCTCTCTCTCTCTCTCTCTCTCTTTTCTTCGACAGTGGAAGACGATCTGACACCCAGAGAATCAACATTCTACTTTCTTTTTTTTCTTTTTTTTTTTTGTCATTTTTATTGAGAATATGTTTCTTTCATGTGTCAGGTTACAAGTTGATTTGCATACTTTCAAAATAAAAAAGAATGCGTTTGATGACTTTGTTCTCTTTCTTTCTTACACTGGATCAGTCAAACTGACGTCAGCTATTATACAATCAAGACAAAAAAGATGAATGGGATTTTAAAAGAAACAAATTCCAATTTTAGATAAAGGACTAGATCCAACCTTTGGATCTGGTCAGCTGGTTTGTCCCATATGTTATTTTTGTTGTGGCAGGTGACGAGTGGATGCTCTTTGTTTCACTCGATCCTGCTAGTTAAATGCTTGTTATTTCTCGAGTTCAAATCCCTACAGTGCCAGGTAAAATTAATTTTATTTTAATTGAATGCTTTCACAATTAATTATTTTAATCTGATCCTTTACTATGTACATAATCCATAATTCACATTAATTCGTCTTTAGCACGACTGGCGTTTATAACAGGTATTTCTAATGAAAAGGATTTCGTCAATCGCTCTCTGAAGTTTAATGAAACATTGATTTTACAATTCCCTGAACGTTCGCAATAAAACTTTAAGATTGTGTTGAAAATACGAGAAGGTTTAGGGTCCATTGTTGAATTTTTTAAAATGTTTTTAATATACTTCCACGTCATTAAACGGCTTGCCAACAGAAACTGTAGACATTTTAAAATCGTTATTCGAAATATTTTCATCCTCCAGAGAAGCGCAAGACTGACTTTTAGGAGGGGCTCCCAAATATTTTCCATATTTTCTATTTCGGGATGTTTAATTGCTGCCTTGTTGTTATTGCTTGCTGTTTTTACGTTGACATTTGGGTCGCCAAACTATGAAGAGTTACTTTGTGCTTTGCGTAAAAAAACTAAAATAAAAGAAAGTAATACGATTGGCTCTTTTTTTGCCTACGTTTGTAAAACTTACAAATAACATCAATTTCCTCTTGCCCTGTTCCTTCTTCTAGTTATCGGATAAAATGCTCCAAAACTGCAAATCATTTTTCATTAAATGTAT